GAAATCTGTTTATGAGATCTTTAGTCTCTTTAAGTTTGAGGCATCGTAGGAATGAACGTATCTTGGTGTGGCACTACGGAATTAAACGTTGTTGCAGCCATGGCGAATTCGTTTCTAATGACTCACGCACAAAACCAATTTCAAATTTGAGCTACAACGGTGGTTAATTCGGTAACGCCACGCCATATTACGTCGGTTTCTTCAATGCCTCAAACGAACATAGCCTGAAATGTATCCATTTTACTCCGCTGTGAATGAGTTTATGGCTGTGATGATTTTGAAGAAATGAAATCCGTTTATGAGATTTTTAGCTTTTGTTCATATAAGAGACAAACGTATCTTGGCGTGGCATTACGGATTTAACCGCCGTTGCAGCCATGGCGAATTCGTTTCTGATATGAATCAAGCCCAACACAGGATTTTAAATTTGAGCTAAAACGGTTTTAGGCCCTGATATTTAGGCTTCCCAATTCTGTTACAGTGATTTTTAGGCTTTGTTTGTTTGAGGCAGTGAAGAAACTGAACGTAACTTGGCGTTGGGTTACCTTACTAACCACCATTATACCAGCCATGGCAATTTGGTTTCTTAGATTGCCTCAAGTGTATCGATTTTGTGTGGGTGTGTATAAGAATTCACGGGTGTTCAGATTTTGAATTTATGAATTAATTACTTTGATTTTCAGGTTATTACTGTTTGAGGCATTGAAGAATTGAATGCAACTTGGCGTGGCATTACGGAATTAACCACCGTTGAACCAGCCATGGCGATATGGTTTCTTTCATTGCCTCAAACGCCTAAATTTCGTGCTGGTGTGAGTAAATATTTTATGGCATATGATGATTTTGAAGTAATGAAATATGTTTCTCTGATTTTCAGGCTTTGTTCATTTCAGGCAATTTAAGAAACCAATGTAATATGGCGCGATGTTACGCAATTAAGCACCATTGTAGACTCCATTGCGATTTGATTTCTTAAATTGCCTGAAATGTAGCCATTCACGTGGGTCTGTGTATGAGTTTATGGCTGTGATGATTTTGAAGAAAGGAAATCTGTTTATGAGATCTTTAGTCCTTTAAGTTTGAGACATCGTAGGAATGAACGTATCGTGGTGTGCCACTACGGAATTAAACGTTGTTGCAGCCATGGCGAATTCGTTTCTAATGTGACTCACGCACAAAACCAATTTCAAATTTGAGCTACAACGGTGGTTAATTCGGTAACGCCACGCCATATTACGTCGGTTTCTTCAATGCCTCAAACGAACCTAGCCTGAAATGTATCCATTTTACTCCGCTGTGAATGAGTTTATGGCTGTGATGATTTTGAAGAAACGAAATTCGTTTATGAGATTTTTAGTTCCAATTTCTTCCAATTTCTTATAGTTCTTTCCAGTTCCTTCCAGTTTAATACAACCTTTTTCATTTTCTTCAAATTCTTTCGACTCCTCAACCAATTACTCTAAAAATAATACTCCGTATATTTCAATGTGATTATTATTATTATAATTAATATTAATATTAATATTATTATTATTATTATTATTATTATTATTATTATTATTATTATTATTATTATTATTATTATTATTATTATTATTATTATTATTATTATTATGATTATCATCATCATCATAATCATTATCATCAATATGGATAAAATAGTTACATTGAATGTTTTATTAATATAACTTTTTATAAGACATCTCAATTTTTCCTTTATTACTTAAATTGCTCATTTTCCTAATTTTTATTAAAAAAAAATTATAAGTTAGAAGAGTTTAGAGAAAAAGACTAAAATATTAGTAAAACATAAAAAAAATGTAAATAAAAAAGTTCTATGTCTTATTTCCAAAAATAGGATTTCAATGAAAATAAAATGCCAATCATTAAAAAACAATATGTTTGATTATGTGACATGCATGATATTTAAAACAAAATGGTTTAATATATAAATTATAATTACAAATACATTATTTATAATAATGTATTTGTAAAAATAAATTGAGTTGCAATATAACTACACAACCTTTTTAAAATTTAATATTTTTATATTTATGCTTATTTTATATTAAAATTATTTTTTGTAAAAGTAGTTTTTTGTATTTAAAAAATAACAATACTTTTTTATATCTTAAAGACAATTACTAAGATAACGTGATGATGATGATTGTGTTGATGATTATGATGATGATGATGATGATGATGATGCTGATAATGATAGTGATAATAATAATAATAATAATAATAATAATAATAATAATAATAATAATAATAATAATAATAATAATAATAATAATAATAATTTATAACAACAAGAGTTTAAAATAAATATTTTAAAAGTTTTTTTTAGGTTTTCTAGTTTTTTCAAGTTTCTTCTAATTCCTTCTGGTTTTTTCCAGTTTTTTCCAGGTCCTTCCCGTTCCTTCTAGTTTCTTCCAGTTTTTTCCAATTTCTTTCGATTTTTTCCTATTTTTTTCAATATCCAACTCTTTTAATCATTAAAAAAAATAAGTTTGATTACATTATGTGACATGTCTTATATTTAAAACAAAATCTTGTAATATATAATGTATAATTGCATATATTTATTTTATGATAAATACTACATAACCATAATAACTTTTAAGTATTTACATTTTGATATTTATGGTAATGTTATATTCTAATCAATTTTTTTTCAAAAGTATTTTTTTGTATGAAAAATAAAAATATTTTTTTATCTTAAAGACATTTATTAACGGCTTGTTTGAGAATAGCTTTAGCGATTAGTGTTAGTGTTTTGTAAAGGCTATCTACGGACAGCGTTTAACGTTTTCAAAATAATCTGCACCGTTAAAATTTTATCCAAAACGCTAACACTAATTTCTAATGTTATTCCCTAACAGGTCCTAAGATAACGTGATGACACTACCACCACTACCAACAACAACAATAATAACAACAACAATAATAATTTATAACAACAATAATTAAAATGAGAATAAGATAAAAACACACAAAAAAAATTTCATAGTTTTTTTGAATTTTCTAATTTTTTCTAATTTTTTTAAGTTTTTTCCAAAATTTAACGGTGGAACTCTTAATTTCCAGTTTCTTCCAGTTTCTTTCAGTTTCTTCTAATTCCTTCCAGTTTCTAACAGTTTCTTCCAGTTCTTTCCAGTTTTTTCCAAATTCTTCCAGTTTCTTACAGTTCCTTCCAGTTTATTCCAACATTTTCATTTTCTTTAAATTTTTTTGAATTCTCAACCAATTACTCTAAAAATAATACTCCGTATATTTCAATGTGATTATTATTATTATAAATATTATTATTAATATTATTATTATTATTATTATCATTATCATTATCATCATCATCATCATAATCATCATTATGGATAAAATAGTTACATTGAATGTTTTATTAATATAACTTTTTATAAGACATCTCATTTTTTCCTTCATTACTTAAAATTGCTCATTTTCCTAATTTTTATAAAAAAAAATTATAAGTCAGAAGAGTTTAGAGAAAAACACTAAAATATGAGTAAAACATAAAAAAAATGTAAACAAAAAAGTTCTATGTCTTATTTCCAAAAATAAGATTTCAATGAAAATAAAATGCCAATCATTAAAGAAACAATATGTTTGATTATGTGACATGCATGATATTTAAAACAAAATGGTGTAATATATAAATTATAATTACAAATACATTATTTATAATAATGTATTTGTAAAAATAAATTGAGTTGCAATATAACTACACAACCTTTTTAAAATTTAATCTTTTTATATTTATGCTAATTTTATATTAAAATTATTTTTTGTAAAAGTAGTTTTTTCTATTTAAAAAATAACAATACTTTTTTATATCTTAAAGATATTTACTAAGATAACGTGATGATGATGATTATGTTGATGATTATGATGATGATGATTATGATGATGATGATGATGTTGATAATGATAATAATAATAATAATAATAATAATAATAATAATAATAATAATAATAATAATAATAATAATAATTTATAACAACAAGAGTTTAAAATAAATATTTTAAAAGTTTTTTTTAGGTTTTCTAGTTTTTTCAAGTTTCTTCTAATTCCTTCCAGTTTTTTCCAGGTCCTTCCCGTTCCTTCTAGTTTCTTCCAGTTTTTTCCAATTTCTTTCGTTTTTTTCCTATTTTTTTTCAATATCGAGCTCTTTTAATCATTAAAAAAAATAAGTTTGATTACATTATGTGACATGTCTTATATTTAAAACAAAATCTTGTAATATGTAATGTATAATTGCATATATATTATTTTATAATAAATACTGCATAACCATAATAACTTTTAAATATTTACATTTTGATATTTATGGTAATGTTATATTCTAATCAATTTTTTTCAAAAGTATTTTTTGTATGAAAAATAAAAATATTTTTTTTATCTTAAAGACATTTATTAAGGGCTTGTTTGAGAATAGCTTTAGCGATTAGCGTTAGTGTTTTGTAAAGACTATCTACGGACAGCGTTTAACGTTTTCAAAATAATCTGCACCGTTAAAATTTTATCCAAAACGCTAACGTTAACATAACATAATAATAATAATAATAATAATAATAATAATAATAATAAAAATAATAATAATAATAATAATAATAATAATAATAATAATAATAATAATAATTTGTAACAACAAGAGTTTAAAATAAATATTTTAAAAGTTTTTTTGGGCTTTCTAGTTTTTTCAAGTTTCTTCTAGTTCCATCCAGTTTTTTATAGTTTCGTCTAGTTTTTTCCAGGTCCTCCCCGTTCCTTCTAGTTTCTTCTCATTTTTTCTAGTTTCTTTTGATTTTTTCCTATTTCTTCCAATACCTAGCCCAGCTCTTTTTTACCGTTAAAAAATAATGCCCTAAATCTTCATTTATAAAAATTAGTCCTCCGTACTACCTAATTATCCTAGACTTCGTCTTTGTCGTCCTCGTTCGAGACCTCCTTCAAAATTTCCCCAAAACCTTCGTAGCCCTAGCAAACTTTGGAGAAGGGAGTGAATTGAGGCTGGAAGTCCGAGACAAACACCTTGAAGACCTAGAATTTCTCACGAGGACTCGGTCTCCACGCCACCAGAGAGAAGCGGTGACTAAGCCGGAGGAGAGGTATGTCGTCGACGCTACTTGAGGTAACCCGCGCGTCACACGAGGAGATAGAGCGGCTCGAGCGGGTCATCGTTAAGGATCTCCAGACCGAGCCGGCCACCAATAAGGACCGCCTCTACCAGAGCCACCCCGTTCGCAACGTTATTGAGAGAATCATTGACACCACGCACAGACTTGTAGTTTTCATATCCGTTTTCTGTTCAATATTTCTATTTCGTTGTCTAGGTTATTGACAATAGTTTAGTTAAGCGAATCGTCTGTGTTGTTGATGGCCAGGTCGATATCTATGAAGATAAAGACGGGGTGCGGAAGGATGAGATTGCGGCTCTGGGAGGACAAACTGCTACTGGAAGTAACATGTACAGTGCTTTTTATGACAGATTAAAGGAGGTAAACAAGAGGGTTACGGTTTTT